AGTTTCCTTGGCTGGGTGCGGTGGCTCACACCTGTAATCTCAGCACTTTGGGGAGCTGAGTCAGGCAGATCACTTTAGCCCAGGAGTTTGAGACCAGCCTGGGCAATTTGGTAAAACTTGGTCTCTACAAAAAATACAAAAATTAGTTGGGCGTGGTGGCATGTGCCTGTAGTTCCAGCTACCTGGAAGACTGAGGCAGGAGGATTGCTTGAGGCCAGGAGGTTGAGACTGCAGTTATCTGATCATGCCACTGCACTCTAGCCTGGGTGACAGAGTGAGACCCTGTCTCAAAAAAAAAAAAATAAAACATTTTTTTTTCTTGCTCTGTGGAATGACTGCGTATTGCAGACTCATCTCAAACTTGCCACCCAGACCTGGAACCAGCCATTTCTCTAAGGATCTTTGGTTTCTTTTAATGGGCAATAGTATTTCACACAACAAAAATGAGGATATGTATTGCTATTGGACTAGACATTGTTTTTAGGACTTTTCAGTGGACAAAAGCTAAGGAACAATATGCGTATATTAAGATAACATACCAGAAGAGTTCGTAATGATATTTACAATTCAAATTTGGGACTATAACAGTTGCCTGGCTCCTTCCATCTTATATCTGCTGTTCCCTTTTTCATACCAAGAATCCTGCTTCTCAAGCATATGAGAGATGTAAACTATCTTATAATGACTCATTTCCTTCTTCCCATATCACATACAAAACATAACCATAATCATGATATCATCTACTACCAAAATAATTACTGAAAATAGTTTTTTGTTTGTTTGTTTTGTTTTGTTTTGAGATGGAGTCTCACTCTGTCACCCAGGCTGGAGTGCAGTGGCGTGATCTTGGCTCACTGCAACCTCCACCTACCGAGTTTAAGTAGTTCTCCTCCTCAGCCTCCATAGTAGCTAGGATTACAGGCACGTGCCACCACACCTTGCTAATTTTTTGTCTTTTTAGTAGAGATGGGGTTTCACCACCTTGGCCAGGCTGGTGTTGAACTCCTGACCTTATGATCTGCTTGCCTCAGCCACTCAAAGTGCTGAGATACAGGTGTGAGACACTGAGCCCGGCCAAAAATGGTTTATAATTTTTGATATGTTTTTTCATTCTCTTCCTGGTGTTTCTAAGTTGTACTTTACAAACTGTAGTCTCACCCTTGCATCTCTTGTAGAATCTTAGTTCTACAAACAAGTATTATTAAATATTCATCAACCGTCTTTGTTGCTGTTTCTCCAGTCATTCTGACTAAAGCTCATTCTTTAGTGGATCCTAAGGAGGGACTTGTGGGCGTTATAGTCTCTGAATTGTTGTTTTTTTTTTTTTTGAGACAGAATTTCGCTCTTGTTGCCCAGGCTGGAGTGCAATAGCGCAATCTCCCCTTACCGCAACCTTCGCCTCCTGGGTTTAAGCAATTCTCCTGCCTCAGCCTCCCAAGTAGCTAGTATTACAGGCATGTGCCACCACGCCTGGCTAATTTTTTGTATTTTTGGTAGAGACAGAGTTTCACCATGTAGGTCAGACTGGTCTTGAACTCCCAACTTCAGGTGATCCACCTACCTCAGCCTCCCAAAGTGCTGGGATTACAGGTGTGAGCCACCGTACCCGGCGTCTCTGATTTTTTACATGTCAGTGATGGTTCATTTGCTGTTGTAATATCTGAAAGTCCGTTTGCCACGACATAAAATCCTTGGCTCACGTACTATTCTTTGAACAACGTAAACATTTTTCCATTTCCTTCTGGTATTCCACCAAAGTCGAATGGACATCTTATTTTATTTCCTTTATAAGTCTCTTGTTCTTTTTACCTACATTTCCCAAATAATTCTTTTTTTTTTTCTGATATTAGTTTTACCAAAAATATGTCTTAATGATCGGTCATTCTGGGTCAGTTTTTCCTGGTGCATGATGCCTTCTTGAGTGTTCGAATTCAAATACTTTTTTCTTATTTTTTAAATACTTTTTTTAAAAAGAAATAGTTGTTGAATTACAGTCCTTAGTATTCGTTCTGCTCCCTTGCTTCCTTTAGTGTTCTTTGAGTCTTCCTGTTAGACATGTGTTGGATTTTCCTTGCCTATTTTATTTGTCACATTCTCTCTAATCCTGCTTCTCTCTCTCTCTCTCTCTCCCTTTTTTTTTGCAACCAAGTCTCACTGTGTCGCCCAGGCTGGAGTACAGTGGTGTAATCTTGGCTCACTGCAACCTCTGCCTCCTAGGTTCAGGGGATTTTCCTGCCTCAGCATCCCAGTAGCTGAGACTACAGGCGTGCACCACCACACCTGGCTAATTTTTGTATTTTTAGTAGAGATGGGGTTTTACGGTGTTAGCCAGTATGGTCTCTATCTCCTGACCTTGTCATCCTCCCACCTCGGCCACCCAAAGTGCTGAGATTACAGGCATGAGCCACCTCGCCCATCCATCTCTTTATTTCTGTTTTATCTAAATTTTTTTTTTCTGGCCAAGTTTGAAGGCCCCACCTATAATCCCAGCACTTTAGGAGGCTGAGGCAGGAGGATCACTTGAACCCAGGAATTCGAAACTAGCCTCAACAACAAAGTGAGACCCTGCCTCTACAAAAAGTACAAAAAAGTAGCCAGGCATGGTGGCATGCACCTGGAGTCCCAGCTGGGGCTGGGGTACTGCTTGAGGCTGAAGTGAGCCAAGGTCATCCCACTACACTCCAACCTAGACTACAGAGCAAGACTGTCTCTTTAAAAAAAAAAATCTTTCTTTTCCTCTTAAGGCATTATTATCTATTATATTTATTTCTCTTTTCCTTCTAGTTTAATCCTCATTTCTGAAATGATGTGTTCTATTATTTGAACTTTTCTATCTTCTGTCACCTTGTTTCTGAGTTGTTCTAATTCTTATTTATACTCTTTTGCTTCTTATATCATTTATTTGTCTTTTAGCACCTTTTAAAGTATTAATTCATAGTAGTTATTGGTTTTGGAGGAATGTGTATTGTTTGTCTGTAGCTGTTTGTGAATTGGAAAAAGAGAAATGGCCATTTTTTAAAAATAACTTTTTCTGGTATTTTTTTCTTAGTGAAATGACTATTTCACCTTGCTTCAGTCTGCTGGCTTCATACTTTGGCATTTGGGAAGATGTGTTTATTGTCACAGATTTTAATTTCTTATCAGTAGTTCTGCCAAATGTAGCCACTCTAGGTTAAAGAGGCTTATCTTCTCATTCTCTCCCCCACTTTAATTTTAATAAGCAAATATATAATGTTATTTTTGGATGTCATTCTTTTTGTTTGTTTTGAAACTGGGTGTTGTCATCCAGGCTAGAGGGCAGTGGCGCAGCCTCGGCTGTCCGTGCTCAGGTCATCCTCCCACTTCAGACTCCTGAGTGGCTGGAACTACAGGGGTGTGCCACCGTACGCGACTAATTTTTGCATTTTTCGTAGAGACAAGATTTCATCATGTTGCCCTGGCTGAATTTCACCATGTTGCCCAGGCCGAACTCCTGGGCTTCAGTGAAACACCCACCTCAGCCTTCCAAAGTGCTAGGATTATAGGCATGAGTCACGTGTCTGGCCCTAGATGGAATATTGAGTAGCAGATTCATAGGCATTTATGGAAAATACTTGTAAAATAAAACCTCTTCGGCAACATTTATTTGGAAGATAAAATTGTTTCAAGGGTTTGATAATTTTAGAAACATAAAGTGAATGTCCTATGATGTTAAAACATAGGTAATCATGCTTTAAAAATGATAAATTTTTATTTAATGAATATGATATCTATTTATGGCTTTTTTAGTTTATGTTACAGGAATACTTTAAAAATGCTTTATAAGGCCAAACGTGGTGGCTCATGCCTGTAGGCCTACCACTTTGGGAGGCTGAGGTGGGTGGCTCACTTGAGGTCAGGCATTTAAGACCAGCCTGGCCAACATGGCGAAACCCCATCTCTACTAAAAATACAAAAATTAGCTGAGTGTGTTGGTGGATGCCTGTAATCCTAGCTACTTCGGAGGTTGAGGCAGGAGAATTGCTTGAACCTGGGAGGCAGAGGTTGCAGTGAGCCAACATCATGCCATTGCACTCCAATCTGGGTGACAGAGCGAGACTCTGTCTCAAAAAAAAATTATTTATAAAATTCTAATCTTTTTTTTTTTTCTTTTCCGTGAGATGAGTCTTGGTCTGTCACCCAGACTGGAGTGCAGTGGCGTGATCTCTGCTCACTGTAACCTCTGCCTCCCAAGTTCAAGCAGTTCTTCTGCCTCAGCCTCCCGAGTAGCTGGGATTACAGGTGCCCGCCAAAACACTCAGCTAATGTTTGTATTTTTAGTAGAGACAGGGTTTTGCCGTGTTGGCCAGATTGGTCTCAAAGTCCTGACCTCAGGTGATCCACCTGCCTCAGCCTCCCAAAGACTAGAGTTACAGGTGTGAGCCACTGCGCCCAGCTATAAAATTTCAATCTTACTCATACGTTAAGCATAGAATATAGTAGTAACTTATTAGTTTTGGGTACTTGTAAAAATATAGCATGTACATGTGTGGTTTGTTTTCATTTTTTAACTTTATGGTTTCATGATATCTATAAACTAAAAAAAAAAATCCTATACATATTTCTAAATTTAGGTTAAATGTGCACAGTACTGGCCAACAGATGACCAAGAGATGCTGTTTAAAGAAACAGGATTCAGTGTGAAGCTCTTGTCAGAAGATGTGAAGTCGTATTATACAGTACATCTACTACAATTAGAAAATATCAATGTAAGACCTTTCTTGCCCAAAAGTCTGGACTTTATATGATGGTTTAAAGAATTATTTATTACTAGATTTGAAGTTTGATAAGCACATGCATTTGGGTAATACCTGTAGTATCTAGTCATAATCATTTGTTTTTAGATTGTGTGCCTGCATATAGTAGCTTTCTGAAGACTCCGAAGAAACAGCACAAACTAAGAATTTTGAAGTTGAGGTTGATATTTGGGGATTGAAAATTAATTAATAGAAATACATGGGGATTAATAGAGAGGGCTTTAGAATCTGGCAAACCTGAATTCAAATCCAGCTCTGCTCCTTAGTAGAGGTGTACTTTAGACTTGTTCCCCACTCTGTAAAATGGAAGTTGCCACGCCTCCCCCTCCAGGGCTGTCCTGAAAGTCAAATGAAGATGTGTATGCAGAGCACCTGACCTCAGTAGATACCCAGAAAGCAGCAGCTCCCAGGACTTGTGACAGGCAAGAAAATAACAAGAAAATAACTTAGAAAACTATTGTTAAGTGATTCACAACACAGAAATTTGTCCTTATTGAGTTGGGGAAAAACGATGTGACATATACACACATACATACACACACACACACACATACATATACATATACATATACATGTATAAATGTAGCATGTGGTCTCAAGAACATATACTTGGGTGTTTGTTTGGCTAGTTGGTTTTTTGAGACAGTCTTGCTTTGCCACCCAGGCTGGAGTATAGTGGCATGATCATAGCTCTCACTGTGGCCTTCAACTCCTGGCCTTAAGCAGTCCTCCCACTTCAGCCACCTGAGTATCTGGGATTACAGGAATGAGCCATTACACCTAACTAATTTTCTTATTTTTTTTTTTTTTTGTAGAGATGGGGTCTTGCCTTATTGTCTAGGCTAGTCTCAAATTCATGGGCTCAAGCAGTCCTTGTACTTTGGCCTCCCAAAGTGTTGAGATTATAGTCCTGAGCCACCATGCCAGGCCTTACTTGTGTTTTTCTTTACCAGAAACATATGAACTGTTCCTTGAGCCTTGGTTGAGATACATACACATAATGGGTTATGAACCTGCTGTTGCCAAGCTGATGATCAAGGCATTGCTCCCTCTTTTCTCATTTACCTTTTTTTGCCTTCTTTGTGTTATAATTAAAATAAGCTAGAAAATATGAAATAAGAGTAATTCTGAGATGCTAGTAGAAACTATGATAGCTCAAAAATAGGAAAATTGTTTAGCCTAATATGACTTTAGGAATTTATGTAGTCTACAAGTGAAATACTGTTGTAGTTAACCAATAAGTAAATTAAGTGATCATTAACAGCATAAAAAAGCTTTAGAGAGAAGGGTTATATATACATGCTTTTTAGATGTGTGGCAGTTCCTTTTATGGTTGATCCCTTGGAAAACTTGTGTTTTTTGCTACATTGAGTAAGCACTTGAGTAAGCACAGGTGCATGCCGTGTGTATAAGGCCTAGGTTCTGGTTTTCCTTCTGTCCAGCTTCCAATGACATCTATAACTAAACTTATTATGCAGTCTCTGGAGTCACCTAAAAAGGCTCAAAATTGCCAGACACAGTGGCTCACACCTGTAATCCCAGCACTTTGGGAGGCCGAGGCATGTGGATCATCTCAGGTCAGGGGTTCAAGACCAGCCTGACCAACATGGTGAAATCCTGTCTGTACTAAAAATGCAAAAAAATTAGCTGGGCGTTGTGGTGGGCATCTGTAATCCCAGCTTTTTGAGAGGCGGAGGCAGGAGAATCGATTGAACCTGGGAGGTGGAGGTTGCAGTAAGCGGCAGTTGTGCCACTGCACTCCTGCCTGGGCATCACAGCAAGATTCTGTCTCAAAAAAAAAAAAAAAGGCTCAAAATTAGGAATGATAATTCTTATATTTATTTATAAATACCCATTAGTATATTTATTTTGTCCCAGCTGTTTCCATTGACATGTGTCTTAAACTGCATTGAGATACATCAATAACTCTTTGATGCTGGACTGAGCTTATTCCCAGAAACAGAATGTCCAGGCTGGAGTGCAGTGACATTGGCTTATTGTAGCCTCCACCTCCTGGGTTCAAGTGATTCTCCTGTCTCAACATTCCAAGTAGCTGGGACTACAGGTGTGTGCTGCCACACATGGCTAATGAGCTCATTGCTTATTCCCAGAAACAGAACTGTATTTCTGATGAAGAACTGATTTAGATGAAGGACATAGATGTATTTCCCTATTTCTGAAACAGTCCTTACTGAGAATTGATTATACCTTAAATAATAATAAAAAAGAATGATTTTTGTATTTTATCATGTTGCAAATGCTTTCACATACATATCATTTGACCAATAGTCTTCAGTTAGTGTGAATAGTGTAAATATTTTATTATCCCCATGTTTTATATTATAAAAAAGAATAGTTATATTAAATCCATTAAGTTATGGGAATTTTTCCATAGATTACTTAGCTATTAAGTGACAGACTGAACTCATTAGTTCTCCTGATCCCCTCTGTTTTTTAAAACAGAGTCTAATTCTGTTGCCCAGGCTGGAGTGCAGTGGCATGATCTTGGCTCATTGCAGCTTCCACCTCCCAGGTTCAAATGATTCTCCTGGCTCAGCCTCCCAAGTAGCTGGGACTACAGGTGTGTAGTGCCACGCCTGGCAATTTTTTTTTTTTTTTTGTACTTTTAGTACTGCTGGGGTTTTGCTGTGTTGGCCAGGCTGATCTTGAACTCCTGGCCTCAGGTGATCTGCCCACCTCAGTCTCCCACGTTGGTGGGATTATAGGTGTGAGCCACCATGCCTGGCCATCTCCTAACTTTTGACATGGGGATAAGTCGTTTTGAAGAGATGCCAATTGTTGTAAAGAGAGATTATCAATTCTGAAGCCTCTTTTTGGAGTTGAGGCCGTCATGTGAGTTGGCCAGCCACTGTGTTTTAGTTGCTAGCAACTGTGTGGTATAATGACATGATCCCTGGATTTTTTATTGGCCTGGATTTATTTAGAACATACCATAATATAATAGGAAGAATTTGTTTGTGTTCTACCTTATAATTTTTCCTAAGAACTAGGGATTCTTTATTCTTTAGAAGGCTAAAGTAACATTTCAGTATGAAAGATAGAATTACATTTGCCTAAGTAGATAAACTCTAGAATCAGATAGCCTAAGTTTAAACCCTGACTCTGCCACTCTTGCTAAGTGACTTGGGTCACATTACTTTACTATAAATGATAAACTGTACTTGTTTTATCATCTGTAAAATGAGGGTAATAACATACCTACTTCACAGGATTCCTCTAAAAATCAAGTGAGTTAATATCATGACAATATCTAAGACATAATGTGGAGCCACAATTACTTTTTTAGTTTATCAGTTTCCTTTTTGTAATAGTAATGAATTGGAAGGGACAATAGGAACGGGAGGTAGTTGAAAAGGATAAGTTTAGAGAGAAAAAAAGAACCAAGGGAGTGAGAGAAATTGATGATGAATTAGTGGCTGATAGCCAACCTCAGCCCGCAGATCTCTGTCTTTATTGAGGTCCCTCGGGTGCAGAGAACCAGTTTACTTCTAAGGGAGTCTGACTTGTGACTGTTAACAAGTCCAGAGGTAAAGCCGTGTTCTCAGCAAGCCCTGTACCTACTCCAGTCTAATGGAGCAGCAAACTGACATACTGGGAGCCCTTTACAGTGACTTACTTAAAGCTAAAAGTTTGAACTCTTGCCCCTTAACAGACATTGAATCTCTGCTTTCAAAGTGGCCTGTGGCTTAAGCTATGGAGATAATTTTGAGGCGTTTTGAAAAATAGGGTCATCTAGAATACTTATTTGTCTTTCAGTTTTTTGTTTTTAGTTGCCCTTCACTATTTCCGTAATGTTGTTGGCCAGCTTTATGTTTAGTGAGTTCCAGGAATACTGTTATAATGCTGACTGTCTTCTATTTTCCTGTCCCTGTAGATTAGCAAGATGAGTCTGATTATTATGATGCTCAGCTGGGATTTGGTTCAAAATAGTTTAAACAGTTTATTCTACCTAGAATGTCCTTTCTCTTCTCTGCCTATTTATATCCTACATGTCCTTCAGTAACCCCTGTGGCCCACTTCTTACTTAAGTCTCTCCTAACATATATCTATGACACATTCATCCCTAACAGCTGTGATTCTTCTTAACGCTTTTTCTGTTCTACTAGCTTGTTCAATACTTCTCTATATATAAATCTTGACTCCATAATGAGATTTTTAATTTCCAAGGGGTTGGAAATTACCTGCTGCCTTGGTACTCCCTTGCCGTTGCACAGAGTACATTTTAAAGCATATTATACCTGAGTGATTGTTGTAAAACACAGATGGCAATCTTTCCACCCTCTAAGAATCCTTCTGCAGCTTCCATTGGTTACCAAAAAAGTTTCTGTCCAGTGCACAAGACCATGACCCAGCTCAGCCTGGGCCTTGCCTCCTTGTCTACCTCCTCCTTCGGGTACCCAGCATTTGTACAATCTAAAAGACAGACTTCTCTAATAAGTTAATTCCTTGGTGGCGGTAGGTGGCGTGCCTTTGCAGATTGCTTTCTCTCTGCTTGGAATGCAAGCCTGCCCCTAGCTGTTTCTGCTACTCCTCCTGATCTGGTGAGTTCAGTCTGTCTTTCACAATGAATTGCAGTCAGTAAATATTGACCCTGGCAAAAATTAATGAGAGACTCAACTAAGGCAGTGATAGTGAAGGTACAGATTTGACATCTGGTTAGGAGATAAGGTTGACGGACTTTGTCACTGTTTAGGTGTAGAGGAAATACCCAATGAAGAGGTTGAGAATGTGTTGAGTTTTACAATTGACTGGAGCTTTCTAGGGGCCACAATAAAGGCAATTGGTAAGTATAGTTGTTTTAAAAATAGCCAGTATCTGTTAAGCATTTACCATGTGCAGGGATATGGCAGGCACTTCACATTAACTGTTTCATTTATTCCTTATAACAGTTTTGTAAGGTAAGTAGTAGTATTAACCCTGTTTACAGATGACAAAACTGGGGCTTAGTGAAAGTCTTTTAGAAACAAAATCTTGGTACCTTCCATATATACACTTTTTATATACATATAAAGTGTGAAAGTAATTGGGCTTGGGGTCATAGAGCTGTATAGATTTTTTATGATAATTGGAAACTGTATAATTTTATTATGTATTTATGATGATGATTAACGTGCATTTGAAGGCTGTGAACAGGGCATAGACTTAAATTGCTGTGACCTAACAACTCCTGTTGTTACATCTGCTCAACTCACAGGTTATCCTCCTGGCCTCATATATACAAGTTTGACATCCCTATTCAAAGACTTTAAATTTAGAATTCTCTTTTAAAAATGTAAATGGGATTTTGCCTTGAAAAGAACAGCAAGCCACTGACATTTTGTGCAGAATGTAGTATACATAATGCAGAGTTTTACACAGGAAACTTGGCAGGCATGTGTGGAATGGCTGCAGACAGGGACAGCCTATAATTGTGGGTGCAACCTGGGTATATGTGGGGAGTAGGGTGAAGCAGCGAGAAGGGTGGGGAGGCCAGCTGCAGCTGGGGACCAGAGGAGAACTCGTGTGACTCGGTGACCAAGGAGAAGAAAAGGGTGCTTCCACAGCTTTGAAAATAAGAAGTTTGCCAAATATTGTAAAGTATAAATGCAGACCTTGTTTGGAATAAAGATGAATTTTGTTTTAGCTGTCTATCCTTTGGCAACCTTTTTTTACCCCCTCACATTTTTTTTTTTCCTTCATGAAAAAGAGAGAAAGGTGTCCATCCATGCATACGAACATTTCTGCACCAGAGTAGTAAACATATGACTTTTATGCCTTCATGTGGTTCTTTGTAACTGTGAATTATATGATTTTTGGAAAGCTGTGTTTTTTGAATTTTGTTTCCGTAAGGATAAATTAATTAAAATCAACCTCTCAAAAAAGTCCTGGTTCTATAGGGGGAAAAAAACCAACTGATTTTCAAAAATCTATTAGTGGGGAAGACTGTATTATACAGATAGTCATGAGCATTTCTAGGAACTGGCTTCCAGTATCCAGGCAGCATGACCTGAACTTGAAAAAAATTGAGACCACTAGCCTTGAGTCAAAATCATCCAAGCAAAGAAAAAGCAAGCCAATGCGTAAGATTGTCGGGTAACCATGTGTTTGAGCCAGGACATGATGAAGTAATTGTGTGCAGCACCCCACAGGAGCGCTGGGCCACAGCCCACAGAGCACTGCAAGTCCCTGCTCAGAGTGGACCTCATGAAGGCCCAAACAGACTGAGTCTGGTCCTTCCTATGGCCACAGCAAGTAAGAAACAAAGTGGGTTATGAACGTCCATTGGAATCTTAACCGTTTAAAAGGAAAAACCTTTGAGATAACTGTATCCCCCTCACTGTTAAGAACCCACCTCTCTAGCCCATTCCTTTATCACTATTATCTTGTTAAGTGTCTAACTGCAGCTTTGTGAAAGCAGTTTACCCTTCGTATTTTGGAATGTTTTGAATTTCCTTTTTTAATGCAATAAATTTAATTCACCTTTGTTTTTAACCTACAATGAGATTGACTCCTTTCAGTGTACAGTTGTGTGACTTTTGACAATGCATTCAGTTGTGTAACCACCACCCACAACAGAAATGTAGATTGGTTCTGTCACCTCTCCTCTGCCCTGGATGTTCGTGTGCCGCTTGTGTGCAGTCAGTCCTGTCCTCTACCCCCAGCCTCAGGCAACCACTGATCTGGTTTCTGTTTCTGTGATTCTGCCTTCTAGAATGTCATATAAATGGAATAGTATAGTATATAGCCTTTAGCCTGACTTTGTTCACTTAGCATAATTAATTTAAAAAGAAATGCCTTGAAATCCAGAAACCATGTTCATTTTAATTTGTAATGGAGAAATTTTTTAGTGCCATTAGTATGTTGAGAACTTGTGGATCACAATATATTTGAAATTATTAAGGCTGGATGTTAAAAAACGGTCACTAAAAGTATGTACTTTTTAAAATATTTTTTCACTTTTTAAAATATTTTTTCATTTTATTAGTACTATACCTTATATACTAAGTCTAGGACTTAGGAGTCTTAATTTCTACTGCAAAATAGGAAAGTTTTTATTTTTAAAATGAAAGCTAACTTCTAATTTTGAAAATTTTTATTGGGAGCAGGATATTATAATAATCTTTAGCTGTTAATCATTAAACATGTCAAGGTTTTTTACATTGTTTCTGTGCCTCCTCCCTCAAAAAAAAAAAAGTCCTACAATAAAACTGAAAAATTGCACAAAGACATATTAGTGAAAGACCACTGCTTCGTTTACACAAATGAAGAGTATAAAGCAGAGAAGTGCTCCTTGGGGCAAAAGGCAATTGGCAAAAAGCTAAGGAACATTTTCATAATGAGTTAGAAATTCACATCATCAGGAATATCCAGGAAGAGATAGTGAATACCAGGCAGGCTTAAGAGACAGGAAACATTTAGCATGTTGGTAAACTGTCTTAGCACATCAGCAAAGGCATACAAACAGCTTTAGGATTGAAAATTATTGCCATGGGGAAAGGCAACAATTAGAGGAACAATTCCAATTAAAAATATAAAGATTGTTTCTTTAATTATTGAGTTGCTCCTCTATGCCTGTGTAGCAGAATCTAAAAGATAAATCATGTAAATGAGAGATTGTATTTAAAAAATAAACTTTGAAATTCATAAAAAGGAACACATTAATGTAAAATTATACTGGTAGAAATTTTTTAAAATAGAAAAAAATAGCCCACTCATGTAAGAACTAAAGAAAATATTGGTAACGTGTATGGTACAGATTAGTAGCTGAGAAACCAAAGTCTGCCCCAGGCTGCTTCAAATCCTGGTTGTGCCATGTTCCAGCTATGTGACCTTGGGCAAACTACTTACCCTTTGTTTCAGTTTCCTCATCAGAAAAATAGGTTTTAATAGGATTATTGTGTGGATTGAGTTAATAAGTAAAGTGCTTAGAACAGCCCTCCAAAATAATAAGTGTTGTATGTGTTAGCTATTATTAATACATCCCAAATTTCCACTAAAGAAAATCTTCCCTAATTTGTATATGGGATTGTCAGAAAACAAATGGAAAAATCATTGTATAAACATCCCTTTGGCTTAAAAGGATTAGACGAAACACATGATCTTTCTGAAGTAGTTTTTTAAAAGAAAAAAATTAGAACTAACTTCTCCTCCCTTGATTTTCACTTTTTAGAGTGGTGAAACCAGAACAATATCTCACTTTCATTATACTACCTGGCCAGATTTTGGAGTCCCTGAATCACCAGCTTCATTTCTCAATTTCTTGTTTAAAGTGAGAGAATCTGGCTCCTTGAACCCTGACCACGGGCCTGCGGTGATCCACTGTAGTGCAGGCATTGGGCGCTCTGGCACCTTCTCTCTGGTAGACACTTGTCTTGTTTTGGTAAGTGCTTCTTATGCTTTCATTTTAATCTCATTGATTTTTTTTTTTAAATAGTTTCTGCTAGCAAGGAATAAGTTCTGATGTATCCCAGAACTGAGGTTTTTCAACTTAAACTTCTACTTCTTTTGGAAAAACCTAAAAATCTCATTTCTACCCTTGCAACTGCCTCTTATTCATGACCGGTGGGAATGTATCCAAGATGATTTTAGAGATCCCAAAGAAGTTGTTTTTCTTCCTAGTAGCTTTGTAATGTAGAAATAATAGATCCCTCCCCTCCATTTTTTCAAATATAAATTCATATGTAATATTGAATTCCTTCTTCCTCAGACAACTACTTTCTCATTCTTTAATTTAAAAACTAGGGATAATGATAGACATACTTCACAGGGTTGCTGAGAGAATTCAATGAATTAATACATTTAGGACACTTAGAAGAGTCCCTGGTGTTTTCTGAGCATTCCATAAATGTCAATATTACTGTTACTCCCCTGAGGTTCCTGTCTGTGCCCCCAAGGGCTGATTCTTTTTCCACCAGTCATTCCCAGTCCCAGCCTTTATACAGCCTAGATCTTTTCTTCTCTTTTTAGGACCTTTATTTTTTCCTTACTTCGGATGCATGGAACTTCTTCTGTTTGCCCTTGTACTACTTCTGTCTTCTTTCTTCCTCCTTTTATTATAGAATCAAACCCACCAGTAATACTGTCTGCCTTGATTTCCATGCCATCTACTCCTTCAGTAGTCCCTGTAGCTTAGTTCCTGCTTTCTGAGCATGTTCTAAGATTATCAGTAACCTAGGCAATTTAGCTTGTCTTGTATTCGGGCTGGTGGGGATTTTGTTTTTGTTTAGAGACAGGGTTTTGCTCTGTCACCCAGGCTGGAGTGCAGTGGTACAATCACTGCTTACGGCAGCCTCAACCTCCTGGACTCAAGCGATCCTCCCACCTCAGCCTCCCAAGTAGCTCCTTGCACTATCACATCCAGCTAGTTTTTACTTTTTTATTTGTAGTAGAGACAGGGTCTCACTATGTTGGCCAGGCTAGTGTCAGATTCCTGGGCTCAAGTGATCCTCTTTGCCTCACTCTACCAATATGCTGGGATTACAGGTGTGAGCCACCACACTTGACACTAGACTGGTGTTCTTCACCTTGATTTTAAGGCCCTCTATTAGTCTCTTCTGTGTCTCTGTAAAACTTAGCTATGCTTCATTGCAGTTGTATCAGCATTCTTATGCTTTCCAACATGACTGCTAGCACAAAGTAGATTCTCAGGTGAATTAATATTAATACGGTGATGCTAATCGTAAACACACACACAAGGAGCTTGATCAATGGGGTGATGTTGTTGGTAGATCATTTCAGATGTTGTACCTCTCATGAAAGCTAGGAATTAGGAATGGTTGAGTCTTAACACATCTACTGTATTACTCTGCCACTCCGTATGTATTTAGTATACTTCAATCAAAATTAGATTGTTACATTAAAGTTTAAAACTCTGATGATTATTTTGTTAATGATGACTGTTCCCTACCAACCATTACTTCATCAATTTTTTTTTTTTTTTTTTTTTTTTGGTGGGCCTATGTGTCAGGGGTACTAACACTAGGTCAATAGACCAGAGTGGCAGTGCTGTAGCTCAGCAGTGTTATTGTGGATCTGGGCTTTTAGTGACTCTCTTTTCCACCATCTTTCTTTATTTTATTTTTTTGAGATAGTCTTGTTCTGTTACCCAGGCTGGAGTGCAATGGCACAGTATCAGGCTTACTGCAACCTCCTCCTCCTGGGTTCAAGTGATTCTCCTGCCTCAGACTCCCAAGTAGCTGGAATTACAGATGTGCACCACCACACCCAGCTAATTTTTGTATTTTTATTAGAGATGGGATTTCAAGATGTTGGCCAGGCTGGTCTCGAACTCTTGGCCTCAAGTGATCTGCCCTCCTTAACCTCCCAAGGTGTTGGGACTACAGAGGTGAGCCATCATGCCTGGCCTCTTTTAGACCATCTTTAGATGGGTGCTGTATAACCAAACATTGTGTCTGTAGTGCAGACATGAAGAAGGCAGAGGGGCAGTAAGCAGAAAGGTTGACTCCTGCCATGGCTTAAAAAAAAAAAAAAAAAAAGTCCTTATACTAGCCAGAGCTAATCATAAATCTTTCCTTTGACCAATAAGTGGCCAGAAGGAATGATATTACAGTGATTAACTTGGAATCAATTGTGACTTAGCTAAAGAATCAAACTCCTCCATCTATTACTTGAGGGATTGAGATGTGGGGAGGGATGAGTAGGTTTGGATAGTTGTAAAAATAACATTACAGCTGCAGGGTGAAATTATACTTGTTCTTTCAGAGGAGAAAATGCATAGCAAAAATTTTAGCAATGATCCTGCATTGATTCTATTTCCTGGGTTCCAAAAACGAAAGACTTGACTCATTTTTGCCTTTCTTGCAGATGGAAAAAGGAGATGATATTAACATTAAACAAGTGTTATTGAACATGAGAAAATACCGAATGGGTCTTATTCAAACCCCAGATCAACTGAGATTCTCATACATGGCTATAATAGAAGGAGCAAAATGTATAAAGGGAGATTCTAGTATACAGGTAAACTTACAGGTTTAAAATCGTATCTATTTGTTCAATACACATAGCATCAAATAACTGCACTTCACTTGAGCCCTTATCTTGTTTGTTTGTTTCAAAAAGTATATTTAAACTTTTGTGGTAAATCCAGCTGGCTGTCTTAAAATTGTAAAATTTTAGCTAGCTTCCTTATATATACTCAGCCTCAGGTTCAATCCTGTATGTGACTTAAAAGCCATCGTAGAAACAAGATTTCATTAGAGAAACTTAATTTTTCAAGTTGGGGGTAGTAGTTAAGCTTTTAATTTTTAAAGTAACTGAAAACTTCCGGTACTTTTGCCCTCATTAAACAACTACTTGGTTTGTATAATATTTGACTTTATAGCAAGCAACTTGAACATTTATGGCAGATGTAATGAAATGTCAGCAAAATGTTATATTCTTCTGGTTGGTAGCTTTATTCTCATGAAGCTATTTTTATTGCATATTTGTAGAACCTAAATTCAAAGACTGATCAGAAATCTGTGTTATGTACTAAGGTAAAATGTAAAATAGAAACAACCATAGACTGTCTGGTCTAATCACATAGTATTGGATATAAGTAGATACTGTAAGTTGATAGATAATATAAGAAGATAGGTTCTCTTTTCATTA